TACAACATGACACAAAAATTGATGTTTATCTGTGTTTTTTATATTTACTTTTAAATTAAGAAATTTAGTAATGTATAGTACTAAAATCTGAATTATAATCTACAGTTTGATACCAAAGTTATTGACATAAATTCTTGAAATAGTAGTTCAATATAATTTTGAAGTCAACAAACAACATGACATGGCCTTTCATCCATGACTTGTCTCGAAAAGGTTAATATTCAAAAATCTATTTGAAGTTTATATTAGCCACAATGCCTTTCAAAGAGACTGAAATCACAGCCAAGTTACTGAGTTATTAACAAATTTTCCAGATGCAAGCCTCTGTGGAAAGAAATGTTACTTAATCAAACTGAAATTACTAAAAATCTGCAATCATAAACAAAATTGTAAGAAGTAGTATTTAATTTCTATAATAAAGTAGTAATTAATTTTTTATTGGGGGGGGGGGGTATAAAGAGCAACTCTAACAGAAGTAGTTGATAATGAATTCTTTGACAAAAATAGTAAGTTTATATTTCAATAACATACCTGTGAGCCTCCCTGATCACAGTCAATATAACGAGGCATGGGGAAACGAGTCTGTAGGATTTCCTGAGCATCATTAACTGGAGCCTGAAGAAGTTGCCTGAAGTTCTCATGTTCAGGTGAGTTTTGATAACCAGCCTTTCTCCATTGTGCTATGGTCTAAACACAGAATTAGTTCATTGACTTCTTAAACAAACAAGATTTACATAGATTACTTAAGAATCATGTGAAAAATTACTTTAAAAATTGCAAGTTCCTCTTTTTTGGTTAGTAGTTGTAAAAAAACTACTGATGCTGCTAAGACAAATACAAAGATGTTGCTTTCCCATACATATTTAACAGTTAAAAAACAAACAAATTTGATGTTAGTTCATATGGTTACCCACAATGCATAGCAACTAGAATCCTACCCATAGAGATAATCTTGAAAGGCTTTAAGTAGCAGGATTTTTGTTTTTTAATTTCGCGCAAAGCTACACGAGGGCTATCTGTGCTAGCCGTCCCTAATTTAGCAGTATAAGACTAGAGAGAAGGCAGCTAGCCATCACCACCCACCGCCAACTCTTGGACTACTCTTTTCGTTACTCATTTGAAGTCACTATGATCTTTTTTTTATTGGGGGGGGGGGGATGTATGTAAGACTACTATTTCCATGAAAACTATATACAGTTAGCATCCAGTTTCCACCCACAAAAATGCTTTAATAGAAATTTTTTTCCATCAAAGTGGGAATAAAATTACTACTAGAAAGAAATGTAAAAAAAACAAAACGTTATGTTTTAATCAAGAATGACTGACTGTAAACATTTTTCTTCTTCACAGGATTTACTAATAATAACTTTGATCATTATGATTAAAAATTAAGTCCACATCAAAGTTTCTAAAAACTTCAAACAAGCAACTTATAAGCTCAAGACAGCAAGGATAATTTTAATCTTTTGAAGATGATTTAACACTTAATGTTGCTCACAGGCTATTGAACTAAAAGTGTGAGCCACATTTTATTTTTATGATTTAATTCAACTGTTTCTTTGGAAACGTCGATAAGAAATTATAACATTGTTGGAAAAAGATATCTTTCTTCTACCAACAAACATTACATTGTACACTATAAAATCTAAAGATAAGTACACTAATGGATAACAGTTATATCCTCCTGCATGTATGAAGCTTTAGAAAATTTAAAACAGGCAGAGAGTTTTGATAAAATCAAATTAGGCATATTCATCATGGATAACTGGAAATAAGAAAAAAATAAAATAAATAAAACTTGCTTACCTCTCCATGGAAAATGACAATATGGAAAAATGTGTCCATAAGCAGGATCCTATCGGGTTGTATACTGTTGGTGTCTAGCAACACAGGCTGGGATATAAAAAAATATTCTTTTAGTTTAGTTATTCTTAAATATATACTAGAATTTCGTTACAGAATATGCTGTAAAATGTTTCATTTTAATAATTACATGTGGCAAACCAAACAACTTATGTTTTCTCAAGTTGTCACACGTGTCACATATTTATGAAAATAAGCAATCTAATAACCAAAGTACTTTCAGAAAGAATGTTTTTCTTCCTCCCTGAAGAAAGGTGGTTTAATCCATTAAAGTTTGTGTTACTAAGTTTCTCTTGCCATGGTTCATCTACTTGACTGATCCCACGTTTTCTCAGTATCATTATTTATGTAATTTGATTTTGTGGAAATGTTTCTCGTTAGAGACTGGATGATGAAATCTTGGTAACAGAAACACTTTCAAGCTTTCTAACAATCTTATCTCCTGGTTTAAACATACAAGAAACCTGATACATTGTTCAATACACCCACACATCAGGTTCTAGTCCAATCACATGAGATCAGTCAGTAAATAATTGCTCAATTTCCCACAATATCATGAAATCCCATTACATACTGGTATTACCTCTTAGTCTCCCTATTAGAAATAATAATAAAGATATGTTTTAAAATTTGGTAGATCAAATAAGATCATATAAAACTTTATAACAATATAATGTCATCATAAAAATTGCATCACCAGGAACAAAAATCAACAATGTAAAAAGAACCACTCATACAATTACAGCCAAAAAAAAGTTAGTTTTTTATGCCAGTTTTTTTATTAGCTTCAAATAATTAATTAACAATTATAAATAACCAGAGCATTTTGTTATAGTTACCTCGGGTGGACCATTGAAAGAGTAGGCATAAAGAATAGGTTGGACCATGATCAGAGATTGGGTGAGGTCTTCTCTCATTAACAAATCTCTGTAGCAAGAGAAACAAACATTTAGTTTGTCTTGTGAGTTTAGTACGCAGGTAAAAAGCAATGATTTGTTTTTTTTGTTATGTCTTTCACTTCGCAACTCATATATATTTATAGAAAAACTTTACGATTTCTTTCATTAGGCTTATATTTGAAAGTGCAACAAAAATTCCTAATAAATTTTCATGATTTTTTCTTAAAACCTCAAACTACTGAAGATACTTCTCTCATTTTTTAAAACATTATCATATCTTATAGCTGTTTGAAACATTCTTTTGATCAGGCTTGGGTTTTAAAATTCAGCTTATAATCTAAGGAATTAAAAGTCTCAGAATCCTTAAGAAATGAATTAATTTTATTAAAATTGGATATGGACAATTTGGTTGTAATTACAGATTATTCTACCTACCTCAAAAAATATGGGCATTATTTTAAATGATTAAGTTCTTAATTTAGAGAAAATACTTTCTAATTTTCTTTTCAATCTTGTTACCAAATTTAACTTTTTTTTTTGCAATGATTTGTTTGTTTGTAGTTAAGCACAAAGATACACAATGGGCTATCTGTGCTGTGCCCACCATGGTTATCGTAAGTCCATAGACTTACCACTGAGGAGTTTTTTGCAATGAAACTAAAAACATTTTTGATTCTTAAACAGATTTAAACATTTAAACCAGTAGAATAAAATCAGGCTTAACAAAACAGCACCTATAATATGAGGTCTCATCAGGGCTGTTATTGAATACTTGAAGAAACTGTGAACGACGTAAATGGAACATGAACTGAGGATAAAGTGAAAAATTTTCAGCAAAACGAAATGAGTTGGGGTCATCTTTGCTGTACTCTCCAAACTTCTGACACTGTAAAAACAAAAAGTATTAAATATTAATATACAAACATTTTCAGCCATGCTCAGTATTCAAACTCTTTAAAATACTTAGTCTTTTTGTTGCAAAACATTAGCTTAGCAATACAAAACTAAATGGAAAAAGTTGGTATTATTATTATTATTAATACATCTATTCATACATTTCATACTAATGAAATCTATGCACCAATATATAAACAAATTATTTCTTCTCATATCAAGTTACAAAATTTGATTTTTCAAGGTGTAGACCGATCTTCTGTTAGAGTTCAAGCACTCACCAGTTTTATCAACATTCGGTCCAGCCACCTTAAAACATCTGCTCCATCATCACTTTCTGCACGGAAACATGCAATTCTTGCCATCAAAACAGCAGCAGCTTCCTGGTCAAACCCTGCAGCGATGTGGTGAAGATTGGTTGTTGCATCTGCCCAGCTGATAAAGTATATTAGGTAACATACTGTAAATTTTTCATGTACTTCCAAAATAAGAATTTTGAACACCTTTTTCAATACAATAAAAATACCTAAAATGTGTTTTTATACACTTGCCAAACTTTCATGCAAAGATTATATTTCAAGCAATTTTCTCAAATATTTCCTACTTCCATAAGATTATTTGTGAATTGGAATATAAGTTTTCTTGGAAAACATTTCCCCCAGAAGTGTAGGAATAACAATAACCTACAATCCACTAGTCTACTCAAACTATTATTAATTTATATTTCCTTTCTGAGCCACTACTAGGACTTTATTTAATAAAATACATAAGGTTTTTTATAGAACAAAACTAAGTTTCTTAGCAATTCCAACCTATTATTGCTAGATTAATCAAACACCTTTTCTCAAGATAAGAACCCAACCGAGTAAAGAATGCAAGTTCAATCTACTTCTTTTCACATTGGAAAGATGTCACAAAGAACTTACTCAATTCCAAGTAGAGAATTAATTACATTCAAACATAATTAACATGAAATAGGTTGCTCTGTAACTGGAAATATCAAGCTACGTTATTTTTTTTTCAGATTATTACTTACATTCATGCACATACACAGGATGGGGGGAGGGGTTCAGCAAACCCACCTATTTTTGTGATGTAAACAAATTATGCTTATATAGTTATAGAGCAGCTAATTATGGTATTTAATGTTTTCTACATAGTCTACATTCTTTTGATGAAGCATTAACATTTTTTGGCTTAATATAGTCACATGCCCCCAGACCCCCCCCCGTAGCATTAGCATTCTTCAAACATTCTGCCTAGAAGTCTGACATTTCATACATAAATTCAGCAGCAGCCATCCAACAGTATACACTACATGATTTCAGTGTTACTCAAAGTAAACCTTATCTGTTTCCAGAGAGTAGTAGCAAGTCCCTGTAACACAGGACTTAACTATGTGTTTTAGTTTACAGGTTCAGTAACAAAGCTAATTATTTTTTAACTATCAGATTAACTATATTTTAAAACTTAAAATATCTGTACATTGATAATTATGTTACATAACATTAAATTATTTCTTATATTCATAGTTAATCTGATTTTTCCTAGCAACAAGCCATATAAACAAAAACTTCTATTGTTTCATTAAAGTAAATCAAACCTTACTTTCGGGCAACTGTTGTCACTCTAACTCGTTTCTGACCACTAGAATGCTGGTATTGCATAATCAACTGAACACAACCTCTCCCACCTTGGGGAATTGGGGCATTGTGCTGTAAAAAAAAAAAAAAAGGTTGAAAACAAATATATATAGCACATAAGACACATTTCCATGGAATTATAGATAAACAATAATGATCTTGAAAACTGTAATTGGATAAACACACATAAAATGCACAAAGTAAATTAAAGACCAAATTTAAAATTACAAAATATGGATTCATTCTTTATACATCACATATTTGTAAGTAATATGATATATGACACATGAGAAACTTGCAAACATTGCATTACACACTTGGGAGAATCATGTGGCAGGTGGCAGCACAGTAGCAATGAGCTGGATTTTCTTTGTGAAACCTTCATGAGTAATGTTTCATCAAACAGGTTCTTTGACATGTATGAATTCTGACTTCTGTCACATGATTTGAACCCTAGTAAATATTTTCTCTGAGGTTGTTCAAAAACAACCCACAAACTCTAAGGAAGTTTAAAAAATACAGTAACTCAAGAGAAGTAAGGAATTTGCCAGAACATAGCTCACATACTTGTAAGATATGATATTTCATGTGACATCACAAAAGGAGGACATACTGAACATGTAATTCACGGTCCATTTAATCTATGAAGTGTGTGATGCGATTCTGCCATGTTTCTCATTACAGGTACAAAGTGTAGAATGTATATAAAAAATCACCTTATATATATATATACAAAGGTAAATCTCTATATCACTCATAGCAATAATATCAAAATTAAGAAGCATAACTGCACAATACCTGATTAATCACTTCAAAGAATATTCCAACTGTGGTGTTAGGGTTAATACCACAGAACTTCCACTGACAAGTTCCTCCAATACCTAGTTCTGTATCTGATACACTGGCACTCTTTGTGTTCATTGAAATGCAAGATCCTATTGCTCCAGAAACTTTCAACTCCCTGGATGTCTACAGAGAGAAAATAATCTAGGGTTCTAACTTTCTATGAAATTATCTAAATGTTAAGATAATTGCTCTTACTTTATAAGTTTGAAAAATGTTTGTTCTATAGCGACCTGAAAATTACATGATAGAATTTCATTCAGCTGTAGACTCTCAGCTGGTTTGCAGTCTAATGAACTTTTAATTTGCAGCAACTTAAGTCGTACCAAAACAAAAACTTTAAAATCTCTAATAGAGTAGGTGAAATATAACAAGTATCAAATACTGGGTTGCCAATAAACAAAAATATATATACACACACACACACATTAAAAAATTACAATTAATGAATTTTAAGTTAGGCTTACACATAATAGTTTATTTTTTTTATGATGGCTCATGACAAAACTTCACTTTATTTTTTCTCACCACCTGTATTATTTATTTAGAAAATAGATAGGAAAAACAGCTGCAAAGTTGATGTCTTTCTATACATTTATTTCTAACTCAAATAGATTTTTGAAGTTGATATTATGAAAAACTGAATGAATATTATTTGTTACCAATTTCCAATCTTCTAAAGCTAACAAAATTAAAAATATATCACCTGAAAAGTGGATTTTTTTTCTCACCATCTATCTTTTTATCTTTCATGGAATGTAAACTTCTAAACTTAAGTTATTAAGTCAGAAGCCTTTCTTGATCAAATGTCTTCAAATAAACTTAATATATCACATCTCTGTTTCTTTATGTACCATGTAAAGACAATAAAATTTTATCATTTCCCCTGGCTTGTTTATTTTGTTGAAGAAAGATATTTTATTGCAAAATTTCTTTCAATAATGTGAGTTAGCACATGACATCCCTAGACATGTGATATTATTATTGCTGATATGCATATGAAACTTGACTTTTAGGCCAACGGCTATAATGCATTGCATAAGAGTGTAGTATACAGCTGTGGTACATAATAGTTTTTATTTTATCAAAAATTTTAAATTCACCAATAAAATTTCATTTTAATTTTTTAATGGCTATTTTGATTCATGCATCAAGAAGTATTTCTGTTTTAGATGTTTAAGAGTTATTAAGTATTGTAGGTGTAAATGCAGAAATGGTAGTATTTTGCCACAAGGCTGGAAAGGTTAAGATACAATAAGTTGTTCACACTGTCCAGAAATGTAGAGAAGAAACTAGTTTAAATTAGGACTGAACAAACTTAGGAGTGAGAAACGTCAATGTCCTAGTCAAAGACATCCAACTCCTAATACAGGGTTCCCATGCTTTCGTAAGAAAAGTTCAAGAATAATTCTCAATGTTTTTCAGAATATTCTCATTAATTTCATGAATTATTTCACAGTTTTTCTTAGAAATTATAGCATATGATTGGTGATCAATAACCATAACATTGTACTTAAAACTATGAACTTTTATCATCAATGAGAAAAGCATTACGAGTATTTGTTGTGGTTACACATAAAAAACCACCAAATACCCATCAAAACAGCCAAAATGACTAGAAGTTCACTAAACAACTCATCTCTACTGCTAGCATCACTAAAAAATAACTAAAGAATAACCCATTGATAAAAATTCTTTAAAAATGATAAAAACATAACTGGCAAAATTAGTCAATATCCTCATATATAAAATTCAAAACTTGGATTGACTTATAAAACTTGTAGAAATCACACTTCAAAATAGCTTATCATTATCAGTGCCATTTTTCCAGAGTAATGCTTTATTGAACACCCCATACATTCTGCAGCTTTTTGAAATACATTGCAACACTCATGTAAACCATAAGAGCCAACGTTGAGCAGTGACACATTATAATCATTTAACAGAACATCTTGAAACATTCTGTGGTGTGTCAAGTTTTCATTGGACCTATTCAATGACAGCTGAAGCATGTTTCCCATTAGCAGTCCAACGGTAGTCTAAATCACATCAAACACATCCTTAGCATGACCCATGGAGTTAAAATCAATCTATCTTGTTGCACATGATTATACTCCCAAAATCTCACCAATATGTTTGTTTACTTCTTTTGAAGATCTGTGTTTAGGATTTTATCAAAAAGCAAGACTTTACTTTGCAACATGTTCATAAACTAAAAAGCCAGACCAAAGTAAAAAGGTATATTACTTTGGTTTCCCCACAAGTAAACTTATCTACTGGTAGGCAGTTAGAAAACAGTAGTTATATTACAAAACTTATGCAATACTAGACCTAAAAAATAGCCAGAGCTGATAGCTTTGAGATTCCATCAAAATTCTGCATGTAAGTTTCCTATCTTGCTTAGGAATGTTGACATGGTTTGTGGTTCTGTTGGAGTAGATGTCAGTGGTGATGCTTCCATTCTTCTTTCAACTGCTGACCTATCTGATGTTGCCAGTGATGGTTCTTTCACACTGGTAGTATGTGCAGTTGTACTGCTAGTGTATGCAGCAGACAAACAAGTCTTGTGCTTTGTCATTCATGTGGCTTACAAGTTGCGAGGTCCTCACTGAAACAATGTCATTGGTTTTGTTGCAGAGACGATATTTTGCTCTGAGGGACTTTTTCTCGGTCCTTTACCAACCTAGGGTTATACTTCACTTGTACTGGAAAAAAAGCACCCATCTCTCACCTCTACTGGGCACCTTAGGAGATAAGTAAGATTATGTATAAACATTAATACATACAGCATCATATTAACCTTTTCTCATATTGTTTGTCTGACAGACCTACATTTCTGGAGTATTTCAGATTTGTTTTCTGTCATCGAATGATTTGTATGTTTGTTTCTAGGTGGTAAAACTTTCACTTGAGCCTTCTGTTAACAATAATTGTTAACTTGTACAAAACTAAAATGAGAAACATCTCGTGAGTTATCTGGCTAACTGCAAAATATATTTCTTCACTTTTTGGTTCCCGACATTAGCAGATCTCAAACCAATAAGTCTTCTACACCTACCTTGCTTGAATATCAATAACATAAATGAATTATATCATAAATGTTAAGAATGTGTATCGTTGTAAAGTATTTACTTTCATAGATTTAGCAAAATTTGTCTATAAAAATGTCATATTTCAACTAATGATGTTCTGAAATTTTTACCTTTACTTCCAAAACTCCATTAAAAGCCATCTGAAACTCTCCTTTACTGTCTTTAGCAAAAACTCTCTGAAAGGTCTGTTTGAAAAGGGACGAGTTGAAGGAGTCTCCCATTACTACGTGCCCACTGAAAAAAAATTCTAATTAACTTCTTTATTTTTACGTAGCACATGTAATATGATGTAACTAATAGTTTACTCTTCACTAAGAATGACTGAAACATTAACGTCAGGATTCTTAAAAGAAAAAGTTTTTTTTATATAAACAATAGAACTGATCTTCAAACTTCTTCCTAAACAAAAACTTAGGAAAAAGAACAGGAACAATGTAAATTTCAAAATCTGCATAATAATACAACTCTTTCAAACTCCAATTAATCATAACTTGCAACCCTTGTAACCTCTAACCGTGTATCAAGCAATACCCAATCTAAAACCACCACAATCTTGAGCACCTGGGTAATCAACTTTCAGGTCTCTTTCATTTGCTACCAGATGATGAGATTACAATTCAACGTGGGATGATTATTGGCTACTGACAAAACATCAACAGATTTAGATATGACAATGTTACTATGTCATCTCTCACCTCTACTGGGCACCTTAGGAGATAAGTAAGATTATGTACAAACACTAATACATACAGTATCATATTAACCATTTCTTGTATCATTTGTCTGATCGACCTACAATTCTAGACTGTTTTAGATTTGTTTCCATCTTCTGTCATCAAATGGTTTGTAATGTTTGTTTCTAGGTGGTAAAACTCTCACATGAGCCTTTGGTTAACAATAACTCTGAACAAGATATTTAGTTTGATTATCCCTTATCATTTTGAGGGATAATGTTACACTACTATCCGGTGTCAGTCATTTTGTCCCACCATGAAAATAAAATACAATTCAAATGAGTCATGAACTGGTATCATGCATAAATAAACTTAACATACAGCAAACTTAAACAACTTTATTACTGTTATTGAGCATTTATTATCTCTGATATAAATTAACGTTAACTACATTCATAGATGGCACCATGTCCTTATATATACATACACACCCACACAAAATTAAATTTTCTGTAAAATACCATATACACAGTGTGGAGGGAGGGCACACAATTGTCTTATATATATCTCAAAGTGCGCTACCACTCTCTACGGAGAAATGGAATGAAAGGAACTGCCACCATTATTGCAATAATACATAAACTCAGCTGAAATTTCTACTCCAATAGCCACCATAATGATGATATGACGAGCCATTATTTTGAGTTATACCAACTTCCTATTTTGACCTGCGACTTTTCAACTTTGGCCCATAAGACACTTCTGCGGCCATTAATCATGTGAAACACTGTGGAAGGACATTAACTCTATCAGCCCGGGCTCGGTCTCTGGGACCGACCTCGTAACCATTTTGTGCTTGTTATAGTTTTCATGCTATAACTTTTTAATTAGTAAGCAAATGTTAAAGAAATTTGGCAGATTATCAGTAAACATTATAATGCTTTCATACGCAAGATATAAATTTTTTATTAGGTCTTAAGGTTTATAAAGCAATGTTTATCCTATGTCTTTTTATTCTTTTTGCATATTGCCCATCTATCATGCAAAGTAATATTCATTTTAAGATTAAAAATACTTTTATACATAAAAGAAAATCTCAATTTCACATGCAAAATCTTTATAATGTCCAGATAGTTATCAAACATTTCTT